GATGATGGACTTGATGACATGGATCTTGAAGTTGGGCAGATGGAAATTGATGAGCCCTTGGTTAGAACTGCAGTACCCTGGTTTAGTCAGATAAATGAGAATTATGAAGTTAATGAGTATTGGGCCGATTCGGGTAGTCATACATCATTTGTTCCAGGGGGAGAATTCGAGAAGGGGATGACAGTAAGAAAACACTTCAGGAAATGGCGAAGATGTATTCTATACAGAGAAATCAATTCTACACCACAGTGACCTCAAATGAGAGTGTCCTTCATCTGCGTTGCAAGAAGAAATGTGGATGGTCTCTAAGGGGTACCAGGACAAGTGAGCACTCGCGTGGCTTCACCATAGTCACATACAAAGGCCCGCACCGGGAGAACTGTGTTACCGAAGTACTATGTACTGATCACCGACACTTGGATTCGTCCATAATATCTGAGTATGTGAAGTCCTTTGTTGAATTCATATAGGAACTCATCTCCAAGCAATTCCATTTTGAAGTTCTGTATAAACGAGCATGTATGCCAAGGACAAAGCCATCACTCAAATTTTTGGGGATTGGGAGAGTTCTTACAGCAGACTTCCTCGGTTCATGCAAGCACTGCAACAATCAAACCAGGGAACCGTAGTCATATGGAAACACAAAGCTCTAGTGGAGGGTAGGTATACCAGCAACATGGAAGTGTTTGAACGAGTATTTTGGGCATTTGGTCCTTGTATCGAAGGTTTCAAACATTGTATGCCTGTTATCTGTATCGATGGGACACACTTGTACGGGAAGTATAAAGGAACACTTTTGGTAGCTACAAGTGTGGATGGAAACTTCCAAGTATTTCCACTAGCTTTTGCGTTGGTTGAGGGGAAAAACATTTCCAGCTGGTCATGGTTTATGAGCTGCCTTCGAGAAAGAGTTACGCAACGAGATGGCTTATGTGTTATATCTGATCGACATGTAGGGATCATTGCAGCAATGAATGATCCTAACATTGGATTCACTCAACTCAGAGCCTATCACAGGTTTTGTGTTCGTCACTTGGCTTCAAACTTGAAATCTCACGTGCGAAGCACAATCACGAGAGATACGTTCAAGGCTGCTGCGTACCAAAGGCAAGAGAGAAAACTGCAAGCTGATTTGTTTTCGATTGGTCAGGCATGTACCAAATCGTCACTGTATATTGCCCAAGTGTCGTTTCCTATGTGGTCTTTGTTTCACGACGCTGGTCGCAGACATGGGATATGTACAACAAACTTCTCTGAGACATTTAACAATGTTTTGAAAGGTGCTCGGTTCATGCCAGTTATGTCCCTTGTTGAGTTAACTTTCCACAGAGTTAACAGCTTATCACTGCATTAGTTGAGAGATAGAGACAGGAGACACACTCCTTCCATCTTCCTGTGGGGGAGGCGACTGTCACGCTGCGGGACGTCGCGATACTCACACGCCTTCCCATACATGGGAATGCGGTGACAGGGGGTGTGGTGGTTGACCCCGTAGGTTTAATAGGTCGGGTTCTAGGGGTTCAGCCAGAGCCAAACGAGATCAGGGGCAGCGCGCTGAGGATCGATTGGTTACGCGACACTTTTGGTGTCCTACCTCAGCACAGCGACGCCACAGTGCAGAGATACGCGCGAGCTTACTTGTTCCTGCTCATCTCGGGCGTGCTCTTTGGAAACAAGAGCGGAAGCCATCTTCAAATTATTTACCTGCAGCTATAAGACCACGACTAAGATGAGATCCGTGGATACAGTTGGGGTAGTGCTTGTTTGGCGGTCTTGTATCGCCATCTGTGTAGAGCATCACAGCGTGGAGCACAGCTGATCGGAGGTCCTTTGGTTGTGCTACAGGTAAACCTCATCATTATCCTTAAGACTAGTTTGATGATGACTTGACGTTATTTATACTTTACCTTTTTATTTTATTTTTTAAACAGCTATGGGCTTGGGAGCACATCCATGTAGGGAGACCAGGTAGGCCTGTTGTACACCGTCCGGGGCAGCTGGACCAGGACGATCAGTACGCAGCGTACGATGCTCCCCCGCTCCCTGAACCCGATCAGGCATACGGTTGTAGGTTCGTAACATTACACTTGTGTTGCCGCATTTTGTTATAATTAGCTAGTACAACTTCTTAAATAATTTGTCGCCATAGGTGGGTGGTTCCCAGACTGACACATGCGCATACAACGAGAGGTCTTCTCTACTACCGTGACGCCCTCGACCGACTCACGGATGAACAAGTGGAATCTTGCAATAAATTTGTAATCTTTTGTTTACTCTTTATACTGTTTATTGGCATTGCCCTAACCTATTTACGATATTTCCTTATTGCAGATGACATGGGATCCTTATTTTGCTGTGTTGGTAAAGGCCATGCCGGAACACTTGCTCGAGCATCGTGCTGAGTGGCTTGCCAGGACCCCATGATCTGTTTCGAGGTCGTGGAGAGCCACCTACCGGACCGAGTGTTGCGACAGTTCGGACTTCACCAGCCTATCCCCATGGCCTATGACACTAGTATCCGCCTCCACGACATTGACCGTCGGGGAAAGTTGGAGACAAACTGGGCACAGGAGCATCATCAATTCATTGAGCTTTGGGACCAGCGGTTGGAGTCCGTCGTTGACGGTCACCTGTTTCAGGGTGTTATGGATCCGCGTGATCCTTACATGGTAGGGTACAGGCATATTACACGCCTTTTCATCAACCCTACCTACACGCCACCGTCCACGCACTACCATCCAGCTTATGATGTTATCAGCGGACTTGTGAGTTTATTTCATTTTCTTGTTTTCCAAAATTATTTGAAATTCTATATCATATTACTAAGTCATGGATGATTACTACAGGCGGGGGATATGGGTGCGATGGTTGATGCACTTTCAGATGCCTTAGCAGCTGTACCCACCAGAGCCCAAGTCGAGCGGGTGCGAGATATGGGCATACATAGCTTGCAGAGATATGGCCATGGCCATCTCGTCCACCCCAGGGACGATCATGACCCCAACTCCTTCCATTCACAGTTCGACTTCGGACAGAGCTGTGGCGCAGGTGGTTACCATTCACAGTTCGACTTTGGACAGAGCAGTGGTGGAGGTGATACTTCGGGTTCTACATAGGCAGAGGATTACTTCATCCATAACACCGCTCCCGGCCATACTCAGGATGACTCATCGTCTAGCCAGCTGACTCCACCGTCCCGAGACCCATTTACCACCATTCGGCATTACAGCAGGCGTCCGAGGCGTGTTCGTAGACGGACGGAGGACACACAGGATGGAGATCAGTTAACTCCAATACATGAGTCCGGATAATATTAGTTAGTTGATGTTTTTGTGGTACTCAGATATCTAACAATGTAGTATATAACGCTTACATTATTAATACAAGAAATGTTTTTTAAATGACTCTCTGTACAATTTGAAGTTTATTTCTCTTATTTGTCCGAATTTGAATTTTGTCAGTAAAACTAGATCTTTCATCGCCGTTATATATACCAAACAGCATATATTTGGTCAGCTGCACTTAAAGTGTTGTTTCACGATAGTTGTAGTGCTGTTGGGGTTGTTTCTAGTGTTTGATGGTTGTCGGTGGACGGTGGTGGTCAAGGTTGGTGGAAAGGTTGGGACTGGTGGTGGGAATGCTCTTGCATTGTTTAGAGTGTTTTGGATTGCATAGGGGTGGTCGAGAGTGGCGGCCGGTGGTGGTGAGGGAGGTGGTTGATGGTGGTGGGGGTGGGGGTGGTGGTTGATGGTTGATGGTGGGGCTGAGGCTGAGGCTGCTGGGTGAGGGTGATGTGTAGGGGCAGCAGCAGATGGCAGGAACAGCAACAGATGGCAGAAACAGGAGCTGGCTGCTGGTGATGCAGTCCAGCAGAAAAACGCTGCCTGAGGCAGCGTTTTGTGCTTTAAATAAAACGCTGTCTCAGGCAGCGTTTTACTAAAAGCATAAAACGCTGCCTCAGGCAGCGTTTTATTGTCCACATACATACAATACGTGTATTCCAGTATTTTTTTTCCAAAATACATACCAACAAGTCAACTACCATAAAACGCTGTCTGAGACAGTGTTTTATGTCTTGAATTTTTTTTACAAAAATTCTGGGTGTAAAACGCTGTCCGAGACAGCGTTTCACCCCAGAAGCTTAGTTTGGGAAATACTTTCGCCACGAGACCAATTTGGTAATTACTTTGCCATTAAAGCTCACTTTGGTAAAATGTAGCAATGTACCAATACTAAAGATTTTTTGTTTTTTTTTTTTTTGTTAAGGAATAACTATGTTCATAAAATGCATAGATTTTGAATTTGAGATGATAAACTACTTTCATAGGGTAACTACATAAAAGTTAATTTAATAAAATGTTTTACCAATCAAACAAAACTCTCTTTTTTTTTTTTTTTTTTTTTTTTGAAACCCACAACTTTCAATTTAAATACAACTACATTATGTATACTCCGTCTTCACTAGACTAGATAATAGACTAATTTCTATTTTAAACTATATATTCTGCTTGAAACCCACAACTTTCAATTTAAATATAACTACATTATGTATACTCCGTCTTCACTAGACTAGATAATAGACTAATTTCTATTTTAAACTATATATTCTGCATCGATTAGTCCACATAAATTTTATTAAGTCAAATTTATATAAATATCCATTAATGAAACCTTCCTATGTCCCTTTAAAAAAAAAAAAAATTAGACAAAAAAAAATTCAAGGTACAGTTTCATTAGTATATTGATGTAATAATGTAAATAATTCAGTATAATCAGTTAATTTAATTCAATTTTACTGGATAGTTTAACATAAAAACAAACCTCCATACTTTGGAAATAATTAATAAATTCTAGCAAACTTGAATAATTAGTTTGACAAATGAACAATTTGCTCATGTCTGTCAAGCAAGGAGCACAAGAAAGTAGGAAGTAAAGTGAGGAAAAGTACGCATACAACTCCCTACAAAAAAAAAAAAAAAAAAAAAAAAAAAAAAAAAGTATGCATACAACTCAGAGTGAAAATAGATTTGCATAATGGACGAAGGCTACAATATGCACTCTTTTGGTGCAAATATGATTTGCATTCTTTGTTTGCAAAAATGGTTTGCATCAGTACTCGGAATATTTACATAGAAATCTTATACCGAGTTCCTATATCTGTAATCTGTATTAACTTTCTGAAACTGCTCATGTTGTGTCATATTATATGCAGTTTATCAACATCAGCAGCTCAGACTAATGACGACGCAAAAAGAAGAGCTAAGCTTATACACAGCATAATTAAGGGTGTTTGAATATCTACAATGGAAGCAGAGGATATAAAATGGGGGCCTACTAGATGAACTGTTCCCGTTTGCTCATCCTTGACCTGAATGTTTGTAGAGCCTGCCACATCAAGTATAAACCCATTAGACTCCATCCAATAACCACTTTAATACAAGGTTTCTGATAACCAGTTTGACAAGTATACAGCCGTAATTTGAGGTAGTAAACTTAAAACTGTGTACTTTTAGGAAAAAGGTAGGGAATGTTCAAGAAAGTAAAAATTATATCATTCATCCATACATCTAAAAGGGCTAAACTATTTCTGAAGTAAATCTTATTTGATGGTTTTCAGGCAAAGATTGAGATCTACTTCTGCAATATGACTATTTACACAAGGACCACAAAAAGTACTTGAAACTTTGGCTGATCAAGAAGATGAAGCAAATCTAAGACACATGGAGTTCTCATAGCTCAATAAAACCTCAGCATACTGATTAACAGTGCATATACGCCCTTAACAATAGTGCAGTTTTATGTATCTATAATCTACATTTGAATTGTTTAAGTGAAATCAGTAGTTTCAATTTTCTATTAAACCCATAATTCAATAGCAAACTGCGGGAATAAAAAACTGACTGATTATAATTGTGAAGGGTGTACACCATATAAATTAGATGGTAGAAAAGACATGACCATAAAAAAAGCTTAGACTATTATCTACACCAGTTAATGCTTGGAGAAGAGCTTCATGCTGGAGTTTATTATATAGAACAGATTAAAAGGTTCCTGGATAAATGCATACAAAAAAGAAAAAAAATTAAAAATTAACACCTACAGCTTGTTTGGATAGAAATATTTGGAGGGGGAAAAATGCATTCTCCTTTGTTGGATAGCGCATTAGGAGGTCGAGGGAAATGGAGTGAATTTATCACCTTAATTTTTTAAGAAACATATCCCTCCAAAATTATAATGATTTGAAATTAGGCATAACAATTATGAAAACCTTTTTTTTCCCCCCTTATTATTTCTATTGTTCCTTTACAGCCATTTCCCACATTCCAGTTCATCTCTTTTTTGTTCGCTCAGTTTTTGTCTATTTACAAATGATCTGCCACTTTAACTCTCCTCTGCCCTACAACTGAAAATATCAAACTACTTTCCACAATTCAAAATTTGGATTCTAATTTCATCTTTGATAAAAAAAAATCACGATGCCAACAACAAGAACAAAGGTGGGTGGAATCTTAAATGCAATAATCACCCATACATTGGAAAGTGTTCAGAGGTGATAAAGGTCGGTGCCTTTACATCTGTAACCACCACCGACGGCAAGAAATTGGAGGGGTGGAAGGAGATTTGAAGGCATTGAAGAATTTGAAGTGCTACAGCTGATTGTCAGCTTTTTTGAGCTCTATTTCAATAGCTACTTCTTCCATCGACGGTGTGCGTGAATTGGCAGGGGCAAAATGGAAGGAAAAAAAAAAACTCAAGCGATTGATGAATTTAGAGTGCTAAATATAATTGATCAGTTCATTCAAGCTCTATCACAAATTTACAATGGCTACTTTTTCCATTGACGGTGTGTGAATCAGCAGGAGCAAAATGGAAAGAAAAATAAACTCATGTGATGTTCCCTCCCCTTAAATTCCCTCATGCTCTTTGCTACCCAAACATAGGGTTTTTTTTTTTCGCTTTGCTCTCCTCACTTACTTTTCTCTTCCTCTAACTTCCATCCCCTCCCTTTCCTTCCTATATGCCTATCCAAACAAACTGTTAATGACACAGTTCAACCTAAGAATGGCAAGGCAGAAGACACAATGTACCATCTCCAAATTGAAAAAACAAGAGAGAAAAGCCTTTAAAGCAAGCAAGAGCAGCACACATCTATTATCTCAAGTCGTGACATTCAAATCACTGATGAAGATAACTCTGAAATGCTACTATCATGCATTTGGACACTGACAATATACTTCGGGAGTAATATCAAGAACTGATAAGGATGATATGTCATCATACTCACAGTTATAGTCTGTCCATCCAATCACCATGTTTTCCAGATCATATACAACCAGCTTGTTTGAAAGCATTAGATCTGCAAGTGTGGAAAGAGGGGAAAAGAGATCATGTATCCACGGGTTGAGAAAAGGGAAAAGTCAAAATAAATTCTAAAATAAAAATGTACAAACTAAACATTAAATTATTATAAAACCTATGCTACTGTATCTTATTCCTTTTCAAAGCCTTTGACTACTGGCCAGTCGACACACACACACACACACACAAACACACACATATCTCAATTCTCAATTATAACTGAAGCCACTTGTTAGATACCAAATTTTCTGAGCATGAGTGTACATTGAAAAGGAAAACTGTTTCTAAATTTTTTTTAAGAAAATTATTAGAAAGATTTCAAACTTGCTGGCTAAAAGAAGAATTTTAGTAATTACAACATTTCAGAAAACTGCGGCTAGACAAAGCCAAAAAGACTACGATAATTTATAGGAAAATGTTTCTAAATCCAGATAGCCACCTAGCCAGAAGGTAGTATATACTTCAAATCAAAGAATGGATATACATCATCCAATCAAAAACTAATTTTGACACTACTCTTTTCTTTACTTTTATGTCTTTCTTTTTGGAGACAGAAAGTTGACATTATTTTGAGGAGTTAAAGAAATCACAAGAATAGTCGTGGTTTTTGACCATGCAAAATAGGAAAAACTACTTTGTAAGTAGCCCAAAATTATAAAAGTTAGGACAGATGGATGGAGTAAAGACGAATTTATCAAATCAATAAGTATAAATGAGTTGCTCTCACTAGAAAGGTGCATAAATGTGAAACTTTGAATGTATACCAAAAAAATATTTGAGGATGACCCAGAGTCCATCTTAAGTTCTTAAATGAATATAATTAATAAAAAGAAAATAGAAAACCTCTTAAGCTGCACAGATAGTATTTCCAGACCAACACAAGTAATTATCTGTACCTCCTAAAAGAGTGAGATTCTTCTTGTCCCTTGACAACCTTCCGCTATTTTGCCAACCAATACACCAAAAATCATCCTACAAAATTTTGAGGAAAATAAAAATCAGTTAATGATGAAGATTGAACTTCATAATATATGGATAACTATCATTCAATACTACACTTTGACTTTTGCACTATTCATGTACAAATTTTGACCTTATTTTTTTTTGCTAATACTTCCTCTGTTTCATAAAATTTGCAACAATGTGATGTTTACGTTTGCCACGAACAACTTTGATCATCAATATCTCTAAAAAAAAATTAAAATTACATATAGATTTATATGTAAAATTAAAAAAATTTGGTCAAAGTTAGAACATACTCCGTTATATCTATAGCAGAGGTCTGACAATTATTCTTGTAAAAAAAAAAAAAAAAAAAAAAAAAAAAGAAAGAAAATTATGACAATTATATGAAACAGAGAAGGTATATAAGTAACAAATGTGATTATGTAAAATGCATTTTGATTAATACCAAATTTGACAAATGTAATTATCTTAAAAAAGATATTAATGGTCAAAAATAAGATTGCAAGCATGAAAGTCAAAGCAACGCATCTATTTTGAAACACACGAAGCAATTAATATTATGACAACATGTATATTTCAAATAGATTTTGTCAACATGCCAGCTATAATCTCATCTCCTAGATAGCTTTAACATCAATTTCTCACTAGTTCCCTCACAAGACTATTTCTTACACAATGTAGATGATATATAGCATGGAAAGGAAATGAGCATATTTGGGGAATGCAAAACCTTAAATTTGTATAAGACCACTGGGAGGGGGGGGGGGGGGGGGGCGGGGGGGTGGAGTTAACAGCATACGGAGTACTTTCAAGAACTTAATTACTACCTCTGCTTTTCTGTATGTACTCACTTTCCATTAAAAGTTTGTCTTTTTTTTTGTTGTTCTACTCACTTGATATTATTTCATATTTTGCATACCCCATTTACCATCTTACCCCAATATATTTACAACTTCCCATAGTCTCTCCATTTCTTTTTTGTTTTTTTTTTACACCCACCCATCTTTTTACACTGTTACTTTTTCTTACATCCACCCATCTTTTTACACTCTCTTACTTTATTATCTTACACTCAATCATCTTTTCCCAAAAATTTTCTTAAACTACATATCTACGGTAATGAGTCCGACAAACCAAAAAAAAAAAAAAAAAAGGTAGTATAATATCATGAATTTTCCCAAGAGGAACTTTATCCACCCCCCCCCCCTTTTCCCCAAAAAATACAAAAGGAAGTAACTTTATACATACAGATTAGTTGTTCAGCCTCCAATTACAGCCCTAAGCTTTGATTTATTCTCCAATATCACATGTCCAGGGCTGAAGTTAAATAAAATCAACTGAAAATCACACAAGGCATAACAGCAAGGTTTGAGGTAAAAAAGAGCAAAAAAGTAGGGAAATAGGGTCCAACTGAGGGACTACTTATCAAAACCACACAGACCGACTATTGTTATATAAGGATGAGAGATAAGATCAGACTTGGAATTTGGATTAACAATAGCTTTGCATCAGTGATTTTCCTATTTTTTATTTTAAGAATCACATTTTTTGTTTTCATAGTTTAGCTGTTCATTTAAACTATTGGTTGTACAATGGCTCAGGAAAATGGATAATAACAACCAAACATGAAACAACAGAAACTAGAATCCCAAATTTAATTTTTTTTTTTTTTTATTATCATATAAGTGGACCCGAACAACCCTTAAAGCTTGGTGTACAATGTCATCAAATTGACTAAGATTGCAATTCTTCTCTTTTCCCTCAGAAATGATTTTTTATCTCCTCTTCACTACATTTCTGGGAAGAGGGTGAAACCAAAAGATTTTTTCTGCCACGGCTGATCCCACTTTGCTGAACTATATTTGTTAATTTAATTTACCTATATTTCATAAACATTTCCTTTCACAAACTTGACTTCTACATCTCAGTTATTGTATCCCTTAACATATCCTGTTGGCTATGGATTTAAGTTTTCACTCCAGTGGAGAACAAAGCCAAGAAAGTTTAGTCAGAAGTGCTCTACAGTTTTCAAAGTATCATTAGTCGCATGTAGCAATGACCATCATCGAGGTGCATATAGCAATGACCATCATCGAGGTGCAATTCCAAATGCATGTGCATAACTTCAGTTGAAACATAAAAATATGAAGTGTGATCTAATTTCTCTTACTAGAACGAACTGGAGAGAAGATTTGAAACTTTTATGAGATCTCAAGAGTCAAGACAGCCAAAAGCCAGCAAAGTTGCTGTACGAAAGGCAAAAGGCATGGTACAGTGACAAATAAGAACAGTAATATTGTCAATGGTGTAAAAAAAATTCTACAATCAACTGGGAACAATAAATAAAAAGGTTTTGGTAGTCGTTGGGAACAGGCAACAGAATTCTAGAAATCAAGTCATCATCAAAAGAAAATTACACTACCAAAACAAAAAAACATGGCTAGTTAGTTACCAGCTATGTTACCCAGACTTGTGAGACTCAAGTACACATGTTAGACATGTCTACATGTTGACAAGTCAAACTCAGACGTCTTAGTTTTGCATATTTAGTCCAAATTGTTGGAGTGCTAAGTAATGGACATGAGTCCTTGAGGAAAAACAGAGTCTGAATAACATGCTTTACTAAATGCATACATTTTAATTTCCAAAGCAGCATTCATGGTACAAAAATCAAGATTGATAAATAATTAAGTTGGAATAAGTAGCTGCAGAATTCAGAAATGAGCATAGTGTTGCACAAAAGCAAGAATTTTGCAACAAATCAAATGAGGAAAAAACAATACCCACTTCAAGAATAGCATTGAATTGATTACAACAAACAATGGCTTAAAAAAATACTTACAACAGGAAAAAAATACTGATTGGGGTAAACTGTCATCGAGAGCTCACCGCCAAAATAAAATGTTACAGGTGGAAATCCATCATCAACACTGGAGAAACCAAGAGAAGAAGGACGTTAGTGAGCCATCAAAGGTATTTAAATTGCATATCAATATTCTTATATTCTTCCTGATTCCCCCCCCCCTCCCATCACCAAAAAGTCAAAAATGATAGTATTACCATAGATTGCAATTGATTCCTTGCAAAATCATATGATGCGGGCTTAAGAAATGAAGGTGCATCTCAAGTTGAACAAGTTTCTAAAATCACTTTCATTAACTTGACGTGTATAAGGGGATGATATGACTTAGACCTCAAACAGCCATTGAATCCCAAAAGAAAAGCAAAATGTCTGGTAACTCTGATTGAGGAAAATTTATTCTCTGACAATTCATTCTGTTCAGTAGACCCAGAACCCAGAAAGGTAATACTCTGCCCCATAAAGTAGGTAAAATTCCATTTTGAGTTCTCCCAAAAATGCAATTGAAATTGGCTTAACTTCTTGCATCACACAATTAATATAGTAGGTAAAGCAATTATTCCCCTGTATGAGATGGAGGAAGTATATTTTATGTTATACAGAACTCTTGGTCCCCACCGTCCGCCAAACCACTCACTCTCCAACAGTTAATCAAGATATTCAACATAGTAAGAATAGCTCTATCAGAAGATTTGACAAGCTTTATTATATTATCATCTTTCTCAATTAACTAACTTGAACAAGCTATAGGATTAAATTTTATCCCTTCACATCTTATGCTCATCACTGTTAACATATGCCAGCTCATGTTTTTCACTAGTTAGCAAACTCTCTATAAATACCTCCTGGTGGCTTACCCAAAAAGTTTTGTAAACCCTCATACACTCCAAAAGCATCTTTCACAAAGAAAGCAAAGCGATCTTGACTGAAAAAGTAATCTACTGCATACCTTCAGCTGCAGCACAACACTCAAACAGCCTGAAGGGGAACTGCCTCTCACAAACAGTAACCCATTTCATTACTACCATATGTGGCATCAGTAAGTGTGTAAAAGAGAGTGCCTAAGGCGCAAGGCACTTGGCGATTGGGGCAGAGTACTTGTCTTGCTCTAGGCAAGGTGCGTTCAAAGAGGCACATGGGGTACACCAGAAGCGCAGGAGGCACACTGAGGCGTATTAGGGTAGAGAGCTTTTTTTGCTCTAATATAGGAGCACCTAAGGTGCGTGAGGTACTCCAAAAGCACATGAGGCGCATCTGAAGCGCACATCGATCATAGTGTGCCATACTTTAATGAGGCGCATTTGGCGTGACAATACCTCTATTGTTTTAGTGCGCTATGAGTTTCTTATACATTGGTATCAGCACCCATGCAAAAAAAAAAAAAAAAAAGGCATTAAAATGATCTGATCAGAAAAATTATACCTTTCAGAATACTTGAAGCATGTATAAAGGTCTTGGACAGTAACTAATTTCACGTTAGGTTGTCGCGAGAGTATCTGTTGAAGCATTCTCAAATATATGAACATTCAACACCAATGCATAACATGAATTCACAGGAGCAAGCCAATAAATACCTGAATAACAAGTGGCTCGTAAATAATCTCAGGAAGATAAGCAAGGGTAGTACCAATATCAATTATGGCTCCTTTCTTGCCTCCTAACTCATATAAATTCAATGGAAGATTCAAAGTATAATTTCCAACTTTTACCCCAGTCATGTTCACATTGTAGTGTGGCCTGAAAATGTTTGTAAGAAATTAATATTAGCACTGAATCTGCATAAAAAATTAGAGACAAAATACAGTGACCATAACGAAAAGAAAATGGATAGTCAAGACATATTCCTCCCTACACACCCCCAAAATACACACACATGAAAAATACACAACACACCTGCATTAACAAAGATACATATGAGCATGAAAATTTTTTACACCTTAATCTGCCAATTAGAATTAAAGACCCACTTTCCCAACCTATGGTCAATGCACCGCGCTTGATAATTACTTCATTTTTATCAGTGAAGATGTTTCGCTCAAATAGAGGATATAGAGTATTCATCTAATCTTATTAAAGAGTAGATAGCAAGAACCAACAAAGTAATGCAATGCCAACAAAATGCAAATGCTTTAGCAAGCACTTCATAGTAGTAATTAGGAAAAACATCTTATAATGCAGCATCTAAAGATCCAGCAGGCAGGGGATGCTACTGAGAGATCTTTTTAATGGGATGAGTAATAAAATAAATAAATAAATAAAAAATCAGTCTGAACCAGGAACAAAGGAGGGAATGAGAAATACAGAATTTATGCTCACAACCTAAATTGAAACATCACCCACAGCTACTTCTTTATTTTTCTTTTGCAGCATATTATCAAAAGCCACCACGGCAAATTTCAAAGTACATCCATACAGCCCTTTCATCCTATTTTTAATTTGTCACATAAACTTCTGAAAGAATGGCCAATCAGTTGAATATGCCACTTGCTGAGCTCCTATAGTTTGTGACAATTCATTACTTATGTTAACTCTTCAGTGGACTAGGACGACGCACTATTCATTACATTGAAGATGCCAATTGTTGCCACTTTAAGGTCTCCCTCTCCTTCCAAAGTGAAACCTTACAACCCCTAATTGCTGCTCCTCAAACTTTACACTGGAATTGCTAAGGAAACAAATAGATTATGGTCTGCTCACAGATAGCAGTCTGGCTACAAATAAAATAAATTACATGAAAATTCATGGCCATTCCAGAATCATCACAAAACTGCATGGCTTGCTTATGGCACTTGAGCCATTTCACCTCCAAGCTTAGATATCTAGGCAAAGATGCTGTAAGAGAAAACTGTGTGGCTAACGAGTCATAATCTTTATCAACACAAACTACCAATGGCTGAGGCACAGAGCAGCAGAAGAGCTAAATCAAAGTTCCAATAACAATAAAAAAAAGAGATTGATGACTTCCTTTGTTTCAATATTTCAAAACATAATATTGGAAACCAAAGGATCATATCAATAATAGCACTCTCTCAGATAACCTGTTCTGAATAAGAGACAGTGTATAATCTAAACGTTAGTTGGTTGAGACTTCTTGAAAACATAACAAATACGTAGTAATTTTAGTTTGGCTTTAAGTTAAGGTTGAGAAAGCATATGATAGGATGTGTTGATGCACCTTAGGTAATGTATAAGAAAAAAAATTTAATTTAGGGTGCTATAGCCATTAGGTTAGTGAGTTGGTGATAGCAGCTTATAAGTCACCTTTTCAAACCTCGTTCAAAGTAAATGAGAATCTTTAAGCCTTGGTCTGGGCCTTGTGACACTAGAAAAGAGATCTTCAGAAGTTTTGATACTTGATAGAGACGTGGACAGTTTTACAGCTTTTCTAGAGCCGGGAGCTTTTCTAGTATGATGACTAGGCAAAGTTCAGAGTCCTTAATAGTTTTAATAACTTTGGAACAGCCAACATGAGGTCGAGCCTTTAGCTTCGTTGGTGAAGCCTTTTTCTCTCTATAGGCCTATAACACTATCAGCAACTGTTAGTTGTCTACCAATAATGCTTTCCCTGCAGACTATTCTTTCGTAACTTCTACACCTATTGATGCTCCTATATGCTACTTTCTCTCCATTTTTATAAAAATCTACTAGTATTAAAATAGACCAGACTGCCAAAATCATTCACGCCAATCTATCATTTTCTGTGCGCCTGTGATAGGGGGTTTGGAGCACATGAGAGCATTTACAGCCACATTTTCTTTTACCAGCTTCTAACAGATTATATACCTCCCTGTTACAGTTTTACTGTAACAGTTATATCAGTCTTATCACTAAACCCCAGTTAAATGATGATTATAACTATAATATGGACTTTTTTAAGAAACTCTTATGATTTCCAAAAACCTACAACATAGTAGTTCAAACACTACTAGGGTCTAGTCAATAAAATAAATTCCTAGTGACACCCACCAACCAATATTTCCCCTTGCAGTCATGGAGAACAAAAATCTTTTAAACATGACAGCAGAACCAACAGACTGAAAAAGTAAATGTTTAATCTTTCCAGCCTTTGGTAAGAATTTCTAACTCTTTTTTCCATAAAAGTGTAATTAAAAACCAACTCCTTTTTCTTCATACTTGAAAGATTGATCGCCCCCCCCCCTCCATTTTTATTTATTTATTTATTTATTTTGCACACATACCTTAGTACAGGTGAGCATGAAGGGTCTAAATATACTAATATTACGATATCCTAAACAAACCATAGCTTTCACTATAAACTACTAACCTGGCAGTTTGTATATTAGCAAGTATCTTCTGTCAAAAACTTTAGCATTCTCGCACCATGTTCAATTTTAATATGACCTAACCAATATCTGAAGTGTGTTCAGGCAACAATACAACATAGCCTAATAGACAATTGAAACTTGATAGTGGCATTGGTCTACAAAATCACTCACATACGTAATGATGCAAATAAAAAATAGAGAGTGCAACCACTACAAAAAGCCGGAAATCTAAGAGCATGAAATGTCAAATTAATAGATTTAAAGCTGAGAAAGTTTAGAAATGATGAGAGAATCCTAATATTCAACATTTTTACATCATCTAAATTTAAGTAGAAGAGCTACATACTCATTTTGCATCAATGGAGTTGTGTTAACCCTCGGCTTGACAACAGTTCCAATAGCAAAGATGCCCCCACCATTTACACCATCTAGACAATGGGCAAACATCTTTTTCACTTGTCCTGATGAAGCTAGTTGTCCGATTACAGATGAATTTGACTTTCCAAATCCAAGAATACCATCAAGGGCTTCATCAGCATTAGGTGAACCTCGGTCCACATATTGTCCAGCGCTACACCTGTTGAGAGACGAATCATATACACTGTGAACCACCTTATTAACAAGATGCATGCAGGCTTTCTTGGTTATAAGATGCAAGCTCTCATCTGATCATAAAAGAGAAAAGAGTCACAGAACAATAGGTAAACAGATAAAACTGACTATTTACAAGTCATATCCATGATTTATCACTAAAGAACATTGAAAAATCTAACATGAAGACAGCGAGAATCAGAAACAAGAAGATAAATAATGCGACACCTAGCAATTTTACTATTGTAGTGATCAAATTCTCCAGATTATGAGGTATGTTGAAATGCTCTCATAATATCATTCATGAGACGATAATTTTTAATCTATAATGTTATATTAAAATAAGGGTAATGCTAATATAAGCATTAATTACACTTCCTATAATAGTGTAAATTTAGAAATCCATGACAATAGCATGCGTAAATCAATGTAGATATACGCATGTTTTTAGAAAAAATAAGCATTAATTACACTGATCTACGCGTGTTTTTGTCATAAATTCCTAAATTTGTACAATTTTAGAAAGTGTAATTAATGCTCATATAGCATTACCCTTAAAATAAAAATATCCTTTGAAACATATGCAAGTACTACTACAAGTAATGACTAATAATGAAGAAAATTTGGCAATATTGTACTTACGTCTCCTAAATTGCAGTTTGGTTTCCATTTACAATGAACTAAATGGATTTCCTCATGCCTTTCACTCACAACATACAATTTTTGTTTGAATAACATAATAAATTATCCTAGAACTATACACCATTTTTCGATGGGATTAGACTATTATTTTGGGATGGACAAATTGAAAGTAAGAAAGGCATGTCATGAAAAGCTACAGACAGTAATCCATGGTAGTTTTTCTGAACCCTCAGACAAATATCACAGTACAAAGGAACTAAGGGTCCAAGTACCTAAGCTAAGATATCTAAACAAAATATCCTAGAGCTATACACCATATTTCCCCATGTAACATTCCTTGCTGAGATTAGACTAATATTTTAAGATGGACAAATCAACACTAAGAAAGTTCTTGCTTTCTTAAATTGATGGAATGGTAATCATGGTACTTCCAACCCATGCAGTACCTAAACAGTTTTTCAAGTTAACAATTCAAACATAACATCACTACATAATTCTTTTAGTACCGTTCTTTATTCATGCAACAATTGGGTATGGCACAAAGATTAAGGAAAAGGGAAAAGAGATATGGGGCGGTCCAAACAACCAATGAGATTATACAAAAGGAGAGAAAAAAGCTGGGAATTGAGGGGAATTTGTTCTACAGGTTTTAATTGTTTCCCAGAGGAGAATTGTTACAATTGATGTGAAATCTCCATAAAAGACAATTGTCACAGTTAAATAAAAACAATAAAATAAAAACAAAACTGTATCAAATTTGGTACATAGGATAGAGAATTTTTTATGTCAATTGTCAAACTATCAGCATAGTAAAAACCAGATATATAACAACTGCATGTATGCATTTCCAGAAAATAGATCTACATCTCACCCGAAACTGATACTTCCGTTTGCAGTAGTAGTCTGGAGATCCCCTGACACTTGGTCATAGTGCACAATATCTTCCATAAAGTAACCAGTGCTAGAACTCCCATCACCATAAAACTCAGCAAATGAACATGATTCATTGGCTCTGCATACTTGAAAAGGACCACCATTTACATCTAAACAGAATGGTTCATCACAAGAGACATTTTGAGCAGTTGAAGAGTCCTTTGGATCATAGAGTGTGAGTTCTATCTGCCAGAAAAAATCAGCATTATAGGTAACAATATGTTAGTTTTGCTTAGACGATGATCCTAAGTGCATAACAAGTTTCTTGATCCATAATTTACTTAACTGAGCAAAATCTGATGCACTTACAATGTTAATAGCAGTCCATAACCTGCTCTGAAAATTTTTCATCAAACAATTTATAATCAAACTGATCTATCGTAGTATTAGGTTAATTTGTAAATATATCATTATATCATCAGCAGCTCTTGCACAAATGGTATGCCTACTAGGCCACTTATAGGTTCAAAACAGATAATTTTACTTTTGGAGCAACCGCTTAAGCCTATGATTAAAATAGTTCAATACTATTACCAGACTCACACTTGTTCTTTTTTTCTTTTTCCCTTTTTGTTTCAAACAGCACATTAAAGCATCTTTAGTATGATGCATTTTTGGATAGAAACTGAATCATTAAAATATTAATGTTAGAAAGTAGTTTGGTTTGAATGGTGCCATAACATTTTCCCTTACTTGAGGATAATTCACACCACACACCAATTACCCTCCCCTACCCAATGGTAACAAATCATGTTACCCTCCTCATATCCCTTCTCCCTCCGTCATTTTTCTCCATTCCATTTAACTGTAATACCAAACGATCCATAAAAGCAATGATTATTGTTACTCATTCCCTCGCGCATTCGGTTCCATTACATTATGTTACTTCCAACTGTAGCAAATGCACCCTAAGCCACTCTCTAAAGCTCAAACATTTTATACTTAGGGAAGTTACAGGTTAGCAGTCTTTAATTATTAATAATTGGCAGCCATTATACCATTTCTGGAAATAAAGAATTTTTTCTTTCTCTTGAATGGATAGGGATAAGCAATGTATTCATCCTTGAAGGGAATTGAAATCAAGGGGATGGCAAGTTACATAACCCAGACAAAACACATCCCCAAAGGCCAAAACAAAACACACAGTCTAGTCCACAAGATAAAAAGTTTAACAGATGTTATTTCCCAAATGTCAATGGCAAGTTGACAGCTTTCATCAAATGCATAGCAAATTAACAGTATCTATGAACTCTTTATAACAACTGAAACAAGGTAGAGTGTTGTTAACAATTAGATAATGAGTCATTTTTTCAACAAGATACAAATTAAAATCTACAAACTCACTTCCATGGACAAGAGGACCCAAAATTTTCAGTCCTAATGCATGAGAAAACAAAACTCTTGTAATGTAAAGAAAGGAAAAAAAAAAAGGGTTATGCAAAATATTATGACTACGACATGAGCAAATGAGTCTTACACCATGATAGCCTCTTTTAGGACACTCAGTACATTCAATGCAATTCACCCATGTAATATCGCTCCCTGTATCAACTTGCATATAAAAGTTCTTTGGAGGCGTACCAATACCCATCTTTGCATAATACAACCTGCAAATCAAGGAAAAGGAAACCAATAAACCAAATAAGATAGCACAAGACAAAATAAATCTAACAAAAACAGAAAATGCAATACATGATGATCCAAGTGTTTTAACACTGGATCATGCCACGCGCTCTTTTTACCCGATGGCAAGGGCGCGAGCCTAGTGAAGAAGGGGCTTGTGAGCATGTCACGACACAAATGAGGGTCTAATTCGACAAGGGCACTCTTGCCTATTGGTGACAAGGTCAAGGGCACGTGGTGTTCGGGGCTTATGACAGCCAAGCGGGTCAAGGCAGGCACAAGCGGGACCGAATCACCGAGTTTGGGGCTTCTCAGAATTTGGGGGTGATAAAATTCACGTTAGGACACAATATCAATGAATCTCTAACAACATAAACATTAATGCAAAGGCAACCTAAAATAGAAAGATTGGATCTCTTATTGATCACTTAAATTACACAACAGTTACAACATATTCAATTAACATTAAATTAATACCCATCGCACAAAATAGCTAAATAACCACAAAATTTACCAAATTAAGACAAACCCAGAAAAATAAATGCCTAATCAAGTGAAAAAAAAATAATAAAAATAAATAAATAAATAAATAAATAATTAAAAAAAAAAACACAATTAAAATTAAAGCATACAACAATCAAAAACCCAGCAAAAGTCGAAATCAGAAGGTCAAAAAACAAGAAAAATAAAAGAAGAAAGGATTAGAAAAGATACCCAGAAGAATCAGGGCGACCATTACCACCCAAAGGAAGGTCAACATTAGAGAGCATTTGAAGACGATTAGTATCATGAAGTTTGAGAGAATTCAAAGACCGATTAGTTCCTGCATATCTGAACTTTAAACTGAATATTGCACTTGAAGATACAGTTGAAGAGATTGTTATGAATACAATTGTTGCAATGATTAGAATTGCGCGCGATAAAGAGATAATGATGGGAGAATCTCGACCTCTGCCGCCTCCGACGGCGCAACCAGTACCTCCGGCGCGAAGATGGAAGGTGTTGGAGATGATCATGGTTGTCAGCAGGCGAGGAAGGTAGGAGAGAGATTGGTGCGACGACTCTCCTGGTGTTTGGAATCTTCTTACAAGTATTTTACTTTCCCTCTTTCTTCCGAAAGGTTGTTTTTTTCCTTTGGAAAATTAAATAATCGGATATACTCCTCTACTCTCTAGTCTACTTTGTTTTCATGTACTCAAATTTTTGCATCGTCTATAAGTGGTCTGGCTTTATATACTACCTCCGTTAACAGTTATTTGGAACAAATGGGGTAACACGAACTTTTAGGCAAAAACTTTTAAATATGATTATTGAAATATAAGGGTAGTACTTAAGTATTAATCCAAAAAAAAAACCCACAATTAACCTAAACCACCAAACCCATAACCCAGAATCACCACCACCACTACCGAAACCCAGAACCCACCAAAAACCACCACCACCAAACCCACCGAAAACCACCAAACCCAAAACCCAGAATCACCACCACCACTACCGAAACCCAAAACCCACCGAAAACCACCACCACCGAAAACCCAGAACCCACCGAAAACCACCAACACCCATGAATTGACTAAAAACCACCACCAAAACCCACTGAAAACCACCAATATCCACCGAAAACCACTACCAAAACCCGTCGAAAACAACCACCAAAACCCACAGAAAACAACCACCACCACCACGAATTGAATTAATCCCAACCACTACTACCACGAATTGAATTAATCCCGATTAAGCCACCACCACGAAACCCACAAAACCTAGACCCCCGACACCTAGATCCACCCACGAAACCCACAAAACCTAGACCACCATCCACGAAACTCGTGTCGCCCAGAATCACCACACCCATGAAACCCACACACTAGTAGAAAAAAGGAAATCGGCATCGCACTTTTGGCACCGGATTTTGAAAACCGGTGGGAAAGAAATGGGCGGGATTGGGAATACAGACTTTAGGCACCGGTTCCTATTAAACCGGTGGGGATTTATCCTTTTCGCACCGGTTCAAACCGGTGCCAATTAAAAAAGAGAAGAAAAAAAAAAGGGAGAAAGGGATTCGGCACCGGTTCAATCCAAACCGGTGCAAAATAGTGAATTTAGCACCGATTCAAACCGGTGCGCATTTAAAAAAAAAAACTCGGGTTGTACTGTTCTTGTATTTCTTCTTCTTCTTTTCTTTCCCCTTGTTTTTTCAACTTCTTTTTTCCCTCCTTCTCACCTTCTCTTCCAGGCCACCACCTCCGAATTCCCACCTTCTCCATTGAAGCCGTTTTTGAGCTTTCTCACTCCATTAAAGCAGCTGCATGCACCTCGTTCTCTTTCCATATCTCTCTTTCATTGAACTCGTGCTCTCTATTCTCCAGTGAAGCGCATTCTGAGTTTTCTCACTTCCATTGAAGCAGCTTCAAGGTAAGATTTGGGCCATTGTGGTCTTCTTAATCTACCGAATTCCTTTGCAACCTAGGGTTTGTTGTTGATTTGGTTTTCAATTTTGTAATTTTAGGGTTCTGGTAATTTAGGGCTTGTCTTTGTTTTTTTCTATTGGCTGAGTTGGGTGTTTGGTCTAATTAGCTCTATCTTTAGTATTGTTGTTATCTGTGTTTGTGTGTACATAGTCTTAGCGTAGAATATCACTAAAGATACATATAATTTTATTGCTCATGATGATTCTTCTGTCCATTCTACTCTGCCTGCATGTTTCTGTTAGTGTAGTGAAGAAGGTTGTGATAGAGAAATAGAATAATTCATCATCCAGGGAATACATTTAAGTTGGTATGAAACTATAAATTTATTTTCACTTATACATTAATCAAGCAACAACTTTGATATAGCAGTTTTAGTACCCAATAGGTAAAAACTGTGATAGGGGATTTTGATATTTGACAGTTGGATGAAGCCCCGCTTGAGCTTTCATTTGTTCTCGTGAAATCTCACATTAGTTCATGTTCTATTTTTCTGATAGTACTATTTCCATGTAAGTAAATCCTTTTGTGTCAACTTAAGTGGAGAATGTGTCATGTGAAACTATATGAATGATGAGATGCTGCATTCTGAGTCATATAGACTGATAAAATTGCAAGAATAAAATGCTGGTATCTCAATACCGCTTCTAACACTGATTCTTTAGTATTGTTGTTATCTGTGTTGTTATATGCTCAAAGACTATATTTGTTGTAGGTGGTGATGGTATGGTGGGGAGGGGGTATGGGACAGATCTTGGTGGTTGCTAGCCCAGTAGGTGGAGAGGGTAAACAATATTATCATTTTCCAATTTCTTATAAATTTTCTAAATGGTTCAATTTAGTTGTCTTATTCTGTATATTTTTTGTACAGTGTCTCAATCTGCATTGGTTTTTTGGAGCAACGGTGCTGTGACGGTGCAGAGATCAAGGTACCTTGCTTATTTTTTTCATTGTTCCTTTTATTGAGATTATGAATGGATGTGAATAGAAACTTTATGCTATTTGACAATTATTTTTGGTTAAATCACTCTTAGTAAACATGCTATTTGAAATGCTTGCATCATCATATGCCTAGACACCCGTTCAAGGCTTTCTCATTAAAAGAAAGTCTTGAATAGTCCCCGGTTGGGACTGTTCTTGAACGTTTACTCTCACTTAGGTGGTGAATGTATGTCTTTTTTTTTCGATTTTAAGGAACATCTTGGCTTAGCATTTCCTCACCCTGTTCTCTGGGTACATATGTGGGTAAGTAATTACCTACATCGTGTACTTGGAAAACTGGGGGGAAATGCTGCCGGATTTTCCTTAAAATTAGAAAGTCGACATACATTCACTAGTGAGATTACACGTTCAAGGATGGTTAGGTTGGAGTGATAAGGACCCTTTGGAAGCATATATGCATTTTTTAATCTATATGAATATTATATGCATGCTGTGTGTTTGATTTTGATTTACATATATAATAGATGTAGCAATTATACATTAATCGTAATATGTTGCTATGTTTAGAGACAATATACTTAATGGAGAAGGATCGTGGCTGGATATATGGTAGACGTGATACATTGGAATTCTTTAATGGGGTTCAAGAGTTTTGCGAGAAGGCTTCATCTTATCAGCGCAGAATGGGTGTCGATTGGCTCTACTGTCCTTGTGTTGATTGTAATGATGTAAAGGTGGTCAATAGTGTTGAAATCATTAGAGATCATATAATTTGTCGTGGGTTTAGGCTTAAATACCATGTGTGAATTTGGCACGGTGAAGAAGGAGAGTACAGTGGGGATGTTGATGGGAATGATGTGCATGATAGAAGCAATGAGATTCGTGTGGACGAGGAATACTGGAGTGATGAACATATTATTGATAATGGTGATGAGGATGGATTTGAGGATGATCAGGTGGATGAGGTCGAGGATGAAGGTGTGGATGAGATGATGCGTGGTGTTGAAGGTGACGTGTAATACCCCAAATTTTTGATTATATTTAATCAACGATTCTTCTAGTATAAAGTTTAAATTAATAATTATTTTCAAATTTATAGAAAAAAAAAATTTAATAATTATTATTTTTATTTCCATTTTCGGATTTATTAAAAAAAAAAAAAAAAAAAAAAAAAAAAAAAAAAAAAAACTAGTTTCCTATTTCGCAGAAACTGATTTTGAAAACAAATTTTTTTTTAAAGCTTATCTTTTCAGAACTAGCAACAAACTCAATTTGAAATTGGGTCTTATCTTATGAATATTCTAGAGCAATTAAACCTAAGATTTCTAAGTTATATATACTCTAAATCCCAATTGATCTGCCGTATACAAACACTCTCAAATAATACCCATCTCTTTCAACCTTTCACAAGTCGTCATTCCCGACCGATCTTTCAACAGTAAGCCATGGTTCTTCTTCACCTTCATCTTTCTTGAAATAGTTGTCAGCCAACCCTCTACGAATTTCGTCTTCGTTCAGTAACCTTGAGCTATATTTTCATATGGTTTTCTTTCCGATTCATAGAATATAATTTCAAAAAAAAAAATAGAAACAAAATTAAAAGGGTTTTGTTGTTCTCTTTCGTAACTATAAGACAAACTCATAGTCTTATAGTGGATGAGTAGTATCAATGGTGGAAAAGACGAGAAGCTATTTTATAAGTGACAAAGAGTTTGCGGAAAAAAAAATTTTAACACCATTGAAATTATTTAGAGGAAGAAGGCTGTTGGATTTCGACTTTCAGTCGTGGGAATGTGGGATAGATTATAGACCCCTTATCTAACATCCAATACTTCTTTTTCTTATCACTGTTGACTTACAAAATATCTTTTTTATTTCCTCCAATATTTTTTTTATTATGAAGATAGTATGCTACGAGTAGTCCTAACCCACATACTACTACTTTCTCGGTATTAAAAATACGAGTAGGACTGAATTAGTTTTTTTTATCTGTTTGTTGTAGACGGAGGCTACTAGGAGAACATTTTGGAGGTCATTTACCTTAAGTTTTAAGCGCGATTCAAGGTAATTTTCAATGTCCATCATCTTTAGAATCCCGTTAGGAAATTGTTTTAAATTATTGTGTGCCAACTATGTGCTTACGTAATTATATGTGATGGATGTGTTACCGTATGATATTTTGGAATTATATTATATACTAGTTTTCTATAATTGTGTACTAGTATAATATTTTTGAAAATTTGATTATTTGGTATCGTATGAGTTTTTATATAATTATAATCTTGGGAATTGGATGATTGATTATATGTGATTGATGGTCTCCAAGACCTATTGAGAAACGAGTTGTAACCAGTATGTCTTGTAAAATGACTATGTTTTAATACTGAAATTAAAATATTGCTACTTGGGATTAAATTGATTTTGTGCAATACTTGTGTGCAATGTGATCGGACAATTTAATCTATTAAGATGTACATTAAATTAAGAAGGGAAATGAAACCCGAAAGGGTGAAGAACAGGTTGCCCACTAGTAGTTATGGTTGCTACTAGTTGGTTTAAATTAACGTATATTGCTGTTTAGTCTTCCTCCTAATCAATGGGTATTAGTGAGGGGTGTGCACACTAGGGACATTCTGTTTAATTTATGGCCATTTGGGGTTACGCGCGACCTTCTGTAAAGTAGGTGGTGACAGGGACTAGTCCCGGCTTACTGGCGTTCTCTTTCCCTTTCTTAACTAAAGTAATAAATTTCATGTGACAATTTGATTTTGACTTATTATTATGATGTCGATAAAATTGTGTTGTGTACAATATTTTTTTTCGAACTAAAATTATTATTTTACGGGATGGAGTTGGAATTACTCAGTTTATCTGATTTTGGGGAGTTTTCTCTCTTTTCTTGTTTCTGATTTATTTTGCAGGTTAGTAAAAGGGTACTCGGTTACGTGTGTTACGTGACGTGTTTGAGTCATTATCGGAGGCTTCTAAAAA